TGGACTAATGTAGACTATCTTGCGGATGAATTCATGGAGCAAGCTGAATGTCAGAACTCCGTGCATAAAGCCTAAAGTGCTTAAATAAGCATGCCCCATTCAGACGCCCATCACTTTTCATTTGGGAAGACTTACGGGACCTGTAAGATACCATTGGAAAGCTCATTCAGAGCTCGTCAGAAGTTTATCAATGTAGACTAATGTAGAATGTCTGGCAGATGAAGTCATGGAGCGGGCTGAACGTTGGAACTCCATGCGTAAAGCCTGAAGGGCTTAAATGACTATGTGCCATTTAGAATGCCATAACTTTTCATCCGGGAAGAGTTACGGGGCCTGTAAGATACCGTTGGAAATCTCATTAAGAGCCTGTCGAGTGGACTAATTTAGAATGTCTAACAGATGAATTTGTGGAGCGGACTGAACATTGGAACTTTGTGCGTAAAGCCCAAAGGGTTTAAATGAGCATGTCCCATTCAAACAACCATAACTTTTCATCCGAGAAGAGTTACGGGGCCTGTAAGACACCGTTGGAAATCTCATTCAGAGCCCGTCGATGTGGACTAAACTAGAATGTATGATAGATGAATTCATGGAGTGGGCTGAACATCAGAACTCCATGCGTAAAGCCCAAAGGGCTTAAATGAGCATGCCCCATTCTGACGGCCATAACTTTTCATCCGAGAAGAATTATGGGGCTTGTAAGATACCATTGGAAAGCTCATTCAGAGCCCGTCAAAATTTCATCGACATGGAATAACATAGTACATCTGGTAAATTAATTCATGGAGCAAGCTGAATATCAAAACTCTTGCGTAAAGCCCAAAGGGCTTAAATGAGCATGCCCCATTCAGACAGCCATAACTTTTCATTTGGGAAGAGTTACGGGGCCTGTAAGATATAATTGGAAATCTCATTCAGAGGCCATCAGAATTCCACCAACGGGGACTAATGTAGAATATCTGGCGGATGAATTCATGGAACAAGCTGAATGTCAAAACTCCGTGTGTGAAGCCTAAATGGCCTAAATGAGCATGTGTCATTCATACGGCAATAACTTTTCATCCGGGAAGAGTTACAGGGCCTGTAAGATACCGTTGGAAATTTCATTCAGAGCCCGTCAAGTGGACTAATGTAAAATGTCTGACTGATGAATTCATGGAGCAGGCTGAACGTCAAAACTCTGTGCATAAAACGCAAATGTCCCATTCAGACGGCCATAACTTTTCATCTGGGAGAGTTACGGAGCCTGTAAGACAACGTTGGAAATCTCATTCAGAGCCTATCAGAAGTTCGTTGACGTGGACTAACGTAAAAAGTCTGGTGGATGAATTCATGAAGTGGACTGAGCGTCAGAACTCCGTGCGTGAAGCTCAAAGGGCTTAAATTAGCATGTCCCATTCAGACGGCCATAACTATTCATCTAGGAAGAGATATGAGGCCTGTAAGATACCGTTGAAAATCTCATTCAAAGCATGTTGATGTGGAATAATGTAGAATGTCTGAGGGATGAATTCATGGAGCGGGTTGAATGTCAGAACTCCGTGCGTAAAACCCAAAAGGCTTAAATAAGCATGTCCCATTCAGACAGCCATAACTTTTCATCCGAGAAGAGTTACAGGGCCTGTAAGATACCGTTGGAAATCTCATTCTGAACGGACTAATGTAGAATGTCTGACAGATGAATTCATGGAGTGGGTTGAATGTCGGAACTCCGTGCATAAAGCCCAAAGGGCTTAAATGAGCATGCCCCATTCAGATGGCCATAACTTTTCATGTGGGAAGAGTTACAAGGCCTATAAGATACCGTTGGAAAGCTCATTCAGAGCTCGTCAGAAGTTCGTTGATGTGCACTAATGTAAAATGTCTAGCGAATGAATTCATCGAGCGAGTTGAACGTCAAAACTCCTTTCGTGAAGCCCAAAGGGCTTAAATGAGTATGTCCGATTCAAACGGCCATAACTATTCATCTGGGAGGAGTCACGAGACTTGTAGGATATCGTTGGAAATCTCATTCAGAGCCCGTCGAGTTGGACCAATGTAGAATGTCTGATGGATGAATTCATGGAGCAAGAGAATGTCATAACTCTGGGCATAAAGCCCAAATGGCTTAAATAAGCATGCCCCATTCATACGGCCATAACTTTTTAGCTGGGAAGACTTATGGGGCCTATAAGATACTGTTGGAAATCTCATTTAGAGCCCGTCAGAAGTCCATCAATGGGGACTAATGTAGAATGTCTGGCGGATTAATTCATGGAGTGGGCTGAACGTCAGAACTCCATGCATAAAGCCTAAGGGGCTTAAATAAGCATGTGCCATTCAGACGGCAATAACTTTTCATCTGAGAAGAGTTATAGGGCCTGTAAGATACCATTGGAAATCTCATTCAGAGACCATCGAGTGGACTAATGTAGAATGTCTGACTTATGAATTCATGGAGTGGGCTGAACGTTAGAACTTCGTGCGTAAAGCACAAAAGGCTTAAATGAGCATGTCCCATTCAAATGGTCATAACTTTTCATCCAGGAGAGTTACAGGGCCTGTAAGACAACGTTGGAAATCTCATTCAGAGCCTGTCAGCGTGGACTAATGTAGAATGTCTGATGGATGAATTCATTTGAATTTTTGGGGGTGACTATAAGGATTCCTTCACCATAATTGATGCTATCAAAAGTGTTATGAGAGACAAAGCTATGGACCTTAGGAATGTCAAAGCATCCTACAGCAATAGGAAGTAGGCGAATGATTGGGGCCTCTATAGGTCTATTTTCAAAGACATTCCTCAAGTTCCCGACACCGTTTGAAAACTGGATTACGGAGGGTTACGCACAACGGTTTTTGCTTTGTTGTATTTGTATCATTTGTAAAGAGTATGATCTCGTGTTTTTCTTTTAATGATCCTATCCTAGGAGGTGTCCTATGGCAGGTGGAATTTTTGGTGTTCTCCTTGCTTTCTTCTTAGTGTTTATCTCCCTATGTGGTTTAAGATAAACCCCAAGAGCGGATGGCCATTTGTAGGCTTGTTTCTTTTGATTCCTATGTCCAGGGCATGTCCCAAAATAGGCTGGTCGCCTTTTATTAGGCCTTTGTACATTCTTCTCTTTTTTTAATATTATTACTTAACAAAAAAAAAAAAAATTATGACCGGGGGTGTCCAGGTCAGCTTATAACACTTCAACTAATTCCTGGGACCTTGAAACTACCGACCTGATAAGAGTACTTCCAATGGTTGTCCCTATTAACAACTGAGGAAAGACTCGAACTCAAGACCTGTTGAGTAATATATCCAAAAGTCTCTATTAAACCACTCAACCACCCAGAGATAGTTACCCGTAATGAAACTTTCATATAAAAGATGTTGCAATAATATTATACATCAATTAATCATCACTCAACCAAAAGGAGAACTTTCAAACATGTAATCATCAACAATTGTATTAAAGTACATTGAGCGTATGCATTAAGTGAAAGCATTTGTATGAATATTTAAGTGAAACCCCAAGTTTCACTATAAAAGTGAAGTCAGTATAAGTTGCCAAGGAAATATAGTAAAGGTTAGTGAGAGTATGATGAGAGTCACACACCCCATCTGCAAACATTGATGATAATTCAAAGCTTGATGTTGTAATCAACTGAAGTTGTATGATTATGTTTACTTCCTTGGATTGGATTGAGGTTTAAATAAGCCTTTGCTAATCATATCATCCATGCATTGGGAATGGCAGACCACAAAGCTTTTAGAACATTCACATAAATTAAAAGAAGGGCCCAAACACCAAAAGGAATGATAAGCATGTAATTTTTTTATGTAGAAAGGAACCTTTGGCTTCATGGCTCACATTACTTCTACTCTTTTCCTAAAGATAGGTTATCACTTTAGCATTTTGGGTCTAAATTTAAGTCAAAATTTTAAGTTAAAAGATCATGTCTCATATATTATATAGTATAATATAATGACATTATTTGAATTACTTTTGGATAGAATTATATTAATTTAGTTTGAAAAATATTTCTATATTATAAAAATTATTACTTTAAATAAAAAAAAATATATTAATTTTGGTCACTAGAGTAAATTTACCGAAGCTTATACAGTTGTTTTTAAAATTTGCAGCTGTTTTAGAAGACACTTTTTTTTTTTTATAAAAACTAAAATCAATTATTTTAGAATTTTTCAAAGTAATTCCAAATGAAAATTAATTATAAAAAAGCAAAAATGAAAGAAGTTTAACGTAGGGATTCAAAATTAGTTTTTATTTGTTCCAAATAAAACTAATATATCATTATAAAAAATTATCTCCAGATTGTGATCAAAATTTCCCTAAATTAATTTAACCAATCAAAATGAATTTGCTTAAGTGTTTCATGAAATTTTTCACTAACAACAAGCACCGAGTATCTGGCCTTTTACGCATTTACATATCAACTATACAGAGAACACAAGGATGATTTATCCAACATAAATATTTATAGTTACCATTTTAAGCATTTTTCAATCCATTATGGAAGCTGCAACTTATCAACTCAAGATAACTTCACTATGTACATCTCCATCTTCCATCCTTATCCATGAATTAATGGAGAAAGGATCTTCAGTGATCTCAACAATTCTAGCTCCTCTGGCCCAATTTCCATAGCCACCATAGCCGGTATGTCTAGCAAAGCACAGCCAGAGCTTCCAGTAGGGGCAGCACCAGTCCAATCCATGGTTGTGTCCAATAAACACTGCCTGCCATATGAAAACAATACAAATCAGTTGGACCCATTTGTATACGTTAAAGAAAAATCTGGACCACCTATGCTCATATGTAACACACCCACTGTTTTGGTGGCCACTAAAAGGATTGCATAACAAAAGATATCAACAAAAAATCATGAACATGATCAATTCGAGCAACTTAGAAAGATTCTTCTTCATCAATTCAGAGGTCAATTAGAGCAAACATACCATATGGAGCAAAGAAATATATGACATAGAAAGATTCAGATTCATTTCATCACCCAATAATGTTCAACTTAAACAATTTACTGTGGCAGTACTTCAAATTCTTGTCCCCACAGTTTCCTGGAAATGGATTGAAATGAAGGGTAAAGATATTTAAGCATGAGTATCAAATCAAGGAGCAAATTTAAGGACAAAAGAGAGGAATAAGTCCAAAGAGATGTGAAAAGACAATTCTTGTAAAGAGCAAGAAATTCGTAATGGTTCAACTGTTGAAGGTTTCATGACACTGAGAAAAACACAACAGGAATAACAATGTAAACTTGAAACGTTCCCTTAGGAATTATTCTAAATTTGTGACAACGAGATTTTCATTCTTATTTCAGACAGAAGCAGGAAACAATGAGAAATAGTCAGATTGCATTAGAAAATTATAACATATGAAATCTTAAGAATCAGACTTTTCTATTCCCTGCAAGCATAGAATAATCCCCTTCATCCTTCTCAAGTTTCTCTATTTGTCCTTAAGCAAAGAATAAATGTCTTGAGAATGGCAAAACATGCATCAAAATTTATTTTTCTGCAGGCAGTTTTAAATGGGATTTCACATAACTACCAAATCAATACATCAGGTTGCAAGGTAATTATTTTATCCCAGGAGAAGTTTATGATTGGGCAATGAATTTTCAAACTACAATGACCAATGAGTTTAAAAGAGGCTTTTGGAACCACCCCTTAAGATCCAAAATGCCATTTGAGCACCAATTGATTCAATCATATCCTAGTTAATTGTGTTCTTATCTTCACATAGCTAAACACTAGACCATAGAAAAAGCACAGTTCAGCACTATCTCAATCATTACTGGAAGTGTTTGTGAGGCACTCACAAATTTATTTTGTATGCATGATGTCATTTCAGTAAATAGCATATCTAAATAAGCATTTCCATTATGTTCTCACCTTGACAGAAGACCTTTTGACGAGAATTTTCATTATACCCATTTCAGCTTCTTGAGGAGCAACACTTTCCTTATTAATTGAACCCACACAAGGCCTGTGTATTCCAAATTTCGGAGCCACTTTCTTATAAGCTTTACTTGGTATATGCCAAAAAACTATCTCAGGAACACTGTCAAATAAAACTTTTATTAACAAAAAAGATATTTATAATATTTCTGTTAGACCTCCCATACACAAGGTCTATAAATCCAAGGGCAGGGGAAGGAATAGGAGTAAGGGTACGTTGAGTGTGAGTTTGTTAAAGGGTGGTGAGGTGTGCACTAAGGTTGTTAGGCTGGTTGAGTCTGTTATGAGAATGGACACGTGGCTGTCAATATTGTTACAGAATAGAATAATTAGCTTATAAAAGGGAGAGAGTGTGGAGAGTAGGATATCAAGAAACATACTCCAAGGATTGATTGGGAGGTCCCCAGCTCCTCGAATTGCTAGGAAACTATCTGTTATTTCCTTTGTTTCTGTTTCATGTTCACCCAGTATCCATTAATACAATCTGCTATTGCCTATTATTGGTGCATATTGTTTGCTCTGTGTGTGTTGTGTTGCTGTGATTCACTGATTTGCAGGAGGGTTCCAACAGTTTGGTATCAGAGCTAGAAAACACCAACCGGTCTCACGCTGGGGAATGGTCAAATTGAAGATGGAAAATACGATGGAAAATATGGAAAAAGAGATGAAGTCAGTACAGGAGGATATGAGTTCAGTAAAAACTGATGTAGGTTGCCTTAAGGAGTACTTGACCGAGATGAGAGAATTGATAAGGTTAAGAGAGGAGAGGGATGAGAAACGATACCGCAAAAAAGAGAAGTCTCAGTCAACTCCCGAGAATACAGAATCTGGGAATGGCCGAGAACAAGGACAGGAAACAAACGGGGAAAGTGGAAAAGAAGAGAAGAAAGGTCGGAAGTTGGAACTTCCAATTTTCAGTGGAGAAGATCCCTTTGGATGGACTTTTCGCATAGATCGTTACTTCACTATTAACAAATTTGGATCGTCGGAGATGGTTGAAGCCGCGGCTGTTTGTATAGAGGGTAGGGCATTGAACTGGTACCAATGGATGGAAGCGCGAGAACCTTTCAAGTCGTGGGAAGAGTTCAAGGCTGCTCTAATCGCAAGATTCTGGCCGTCGTTCCAAGGTTCTGCACATGAGGCGTTGGTGGCGCTGAAACAAAACTCCACCATGACTGAATATAGGGGGGACTTTGAATCTCATACGGCGCCGTTGAAGGATTTAGGTGAAGAGATATTGATGGGAGTCTTCATTAATGGGCTTAGAGAAGAAATTCGGGCTGAGTTGAGATTGTTAAGGCCCAACTCCTTGCAAGAAGTGATTGAACAGGCCCATCGTGTGGAGGAAAAAAATTAGGTCATGGATAAGTGTCGGCCCAAACCATTCAAAACCCATGGAACCAAGGAGAGTTACTCAAGGGTATCCAGCAACCCAGATCCCACCCGGCCCACATGGTGGTCCAACCCAGCAAGGGTAACCAGTAGACCCGACCCGACCCGACCCGCCTAGTGGTCCAACTCAACAAAACCACCAGAATCCAGCCAAGTCACGTCATCTCGCGCACCCGATAGGAAAAAGAGAGCACCGGAAAATGGAATCGCAAGTTTCCGAGGGGGATCAGGAGGGAATTTCCGGCGGTTGTCCGAAGCCAATATCCAATACAAACGAGAAAGAGGGCTCTGCTTCCGATGTGACGAAAAGTTCGGTCCCAATCATAACTGTCGGAGTAAATCGTTGCAGATCCTGTTGGTATTGGAGGACGATGAGTCTGAGAAGAGTGAATCTCCACTGGAAAAAGACGAAAATTTCAACCAAGAAGGAAACGACTTAGCTTTGTCCATGAACTCCATCGTGGGTATAACGTCAGATAAAACCTTGAAGGTAAAAGGTCAAATTGGGGGTGCTGATGTAGTGGTATTGGTTGACAGTGGAGCGTCACATAATTTTATTTCTCTGGAGTTGGTTGAGAGGCCTGGTATTGCAGTGGAAAAAGGGAAAATGTTTGGAGTGACGGTGGGAAATGGAGTCACAGTGAAAGGAGAAAAGGTGTGCCGACAGGTTACTCTGGATGTGCAAGGGATTCAAATTGGGCAGGATTTCTTTCCCTTTAAGTTAGGGGGAGCTGACATTGTTTTGGGTATCACGTGGTTGAGCTCCTTAGGGGACGTTTGTGCTAACTGGAAGAAGTTGACTATGAGGTTTGAGGTGGATGGGGTTAGAGTCAATTTACAAGGGGACCCATCTCCGGTGAAGTCAGTTGTCTCCCTGAAATCAATGTTACGGTCCATCAACAACAACGGGGGAGGGTTCCTAGTGGAATGTTGCTCGATTGAGAGAAAACTCATGACCACAGGAGAAGAAATCAGTCCGCGAATTCAGGCCGTCTTAGATCAGTATAGACACCTTTTTTACCAACCTTCCAAACTTCTTCCACACCGTACCCATGACCACACCATAAACCTTAAAAAAGGCGCACCAGCCCCTAACCTCAGACCCTATAGGTATCCTTATTTTCAAAAAAATGAAATTGAAAAATTGGTGGAAGAAATGTTAACTGCTCGTATTATCCAGCCTAGTACCAATCCGTTTGCCAGCCTGGTGTTGTTAGTTAAGAAAAAGGATGGAAGTTGGAGGTTCTGCGTTGATTACAGAGCCCTCAACGAAATAATAATTCCCGACAAATTTCCAATCCCTACCATCGAAGAATTGTTGGATGAATTGGTGGGGGCAACTATCTTCTCTAAGCTGGATCTTCGGTCCGGATACCATCAGATCAGAATCAAGGACGAGGACATCCCCAAAATAGCCTTTCGAACACATGAAGGGCATTACGAGTTCTTGGTTATGCCGTTCTGTTTGACCAATGCCCCTTCAACGTTTCAGTCTTTGATGAACAGCATTTTTAAACCAGTTCTACGTAAGTTTGTGCTTGTTTTTTTGACGATATTCTGATTTACAGCCCCGACTTGGAATCCCACATCAGACACCTTCGGCAAGTTCTTAGGATTCTGGACAACAACGAATTGGTTGGGAATTTTAAAAAATGTTTATTCGGGCAGCAGAAGCTGGAATATCTGGGGCATCTAATTTCGGCTAATGGGGTTGAGGCAGATCCCCAAAAAAATTGTTGCTATGGTTTCTTGGCCCACACCCACCAATGTGAAGAGTTTTCGCGGATTTCTGGGATTAACGGGGTACTATCGCAGGTTTGTAAAGGGGTATGGCAGCATAGCCCAGCCACTCACAAGACTACTGAAGAAAAACTCTTTTAGTTGGGACCAAGAAGCGCAGCAGGCCTTTCATGCCTTGGAAGCTATGACTTCAATTCCCATTCTGACAGTTCCAGATTTCAACTCTCCATTCGAGATACACACAGACGCCTCGAGCCACGGTATGGGAGCTGTATTAGTTCAACAAAAACGACCCATAGCTTACTTAAGTAAGGCTTTCTCCCCTCAAGCTAAACAAAAATCAGTCTATGAAAGAGAGTTAATGGCTGTCGTATTCGTTGTGCACAAATGGAGTCCGTACTTATTGGGTAGGAAGTTTATCATTCGAACGGATCAGCGAAGCCTCCAATTCCTCAAAAACCAGCGGATTAAAACCCCGGAATAGCAGAAATGGGTGTCCAAATTAATGGGGTTTTCGTTTGATATTCACTATTGGCCGGGAACCACTAATAAGTTCGCCGATGCTTTATCCCGTCAAGAAGAGGACCCGGAATTATCATCTTTATCAGTGAGTGAGTTTGCAGAGTATGAGGAATTGGCAAATGAGGCCCATTAGGATCCCAAGCTTGGACAGCTGATTCAAGACCTAGTTTTGGAACCCAACAGCTGAACCAACTACAAACTTCGCCATGGATGCTTATTGTACAAGGACAGGTTGGTTTTACCTAAAGGTTCTCGATTTATTCAGAAATTACTAGCTGAATTTCATTCCAGCCCAGCTGGTGGTCATTCCGGATTCTTCTGGACGTACAAAAGGGTTGCCAATGTAGCTTATTGGGTAGGCATGAAGAAGGATATCCAGGACTTTGTTAAAACCTGCACCATCTGTCAAGTTAACAAACACTCAGCTTTGAAGCCGGCAAGGCTACTTCAGCCAATTCCTATACCCACTCAGGCATTCGATGATTTGACAATGGACTTCATTGGAGGACTTCCAAGGGCCAAGGGGTTCGATACCATCCTGGTTGTAGTTGACCGATTGACTAAATATGGCCATTTTCTGCTCTTGTCGCACCCTTATACCGCTAAGGAGGTGGCCTTAGTATTCATGAAAGAGATAGTGAAGCTTCACGGTTTTCCTCAGTCCATCATTTCCGACAAGGACAGACTTTTCATGAGTCATTTTTGACGAGATTTTTAGGATATCTGGGACAGCTTTGAAATTTAGCTCCGCATACCACCCGCAAATGGATGGCCAATCCGAAGTGGTGAATAGGTGCTTAGAGGTATACCTTCGCTGTTTTTGTAGCTCACAACCCCGTCAATGGCCGAATTAGTTGCCATGGGCTGAATTTTGGTACAACACGGCGTATCATAGATCCACCAATATGACACCTTTCAAAGCCTTGTACGGACGGAACCCTCCAATTCTCCTGAAATTCACCGACTACCCTTCTCAGGTCAATGAAGTAAACCACCAAATCCGTGAGCGAAATGCCATCCTTCAAGAACTCAAACATAACCTGGAAGTAGCACAAGTTCACATGAAAACACAAGCAGACCGTCATCAAAGGAATATCTAGCTTTCTCCAGGAGATTATGTGTATCTTCGACTACAGCCTTACAAATTTAAATCTCTGGCCATACGGTTGAATGAAAAACTGAGTCCTAGGTTTTATGGGCCTTTCCGAGTCTTGGAAAAAATGGGTCAGGTGGCATACAAGTTAGAACTTCCCACAGAAGCCCGTATTCACCCAATTTTTCACGTATCCCAGTTGAAGCACAGCCTACATAACTCAGTTCCCGTACAGCCTCTGCCTTCTTGTCTCACTGATGATCTGGAACTTCAGGTTCAGCCTGCAGAGGTGCTGGATGTGCGGTCTCTTATAGATGGTTCCACAGAGGTTCTCATCCGATGGCACGACCTGCCTACTTTCAATGCCACCTGGGAGCCCTTTGATGTCATCAACAGCCAATTTCCTCGATTCTACCTTGAGGACAAGGTGGCACTTCAAGGGGCGGGTATTGTTAGACCTCCCATACACAAGGTCTATAAATCCAAGGGCAGGGGAAGGAATAGGAGTAAGGGTACGTTGAGTGTGAGTTTGTTAAAGGGTGGTGAGGTGTGCACTAAGGGTTGTTAGGCTGGTTGAGTCTGTTATGAGAATGGACACGTGGCTGTCAATATTGTTACAGAATAGAATAATTAGCTTATAAAAGGGAGAGAGTGTGGAGAGTAGGATATCAAGAAATATACTCCAAGGATTGATTGGGAGGTCCCCAGCTCCTCGAATTGCTGGGAAACTATCTGTTATTTCCTTTGTTTCTGTTTCATGTTCACTCAGTATCCATTAATACAATCTGCTATTGCTTATTATTGGTGCATATTGTTTGTTGTGTGTGTGTTGTGTTGCTGTGATTCACTGATTTGCAGGAGGGTTCCAACAATTTCACATGACTTTATTTGGTGTCTTTAAAGAACAATCAAAATTGTAGGAGGCATATAGATCTATCTTGATAGAAAATAACTTTAAAACAGAACTTAGCTCAATTTCATGATTTTCTCCCTTTTACTTAGCAACCCAAATATGTTACTGGTTAACTATTTAAAATTTAGAACTTCGATTCAATGTATCCTATCCTACCTTAATAAATTTCAACAGAATCCTTCTACCTTGAATCAGGATTGATTTCTTGAGATTTATGCCGGAACCATTCTGCTTGGGCACTTGATATAACTTCTGGGTAGGAGCCACCACCAGAATCTAGAAAATACATATAGGCCACAGCCTTCTGAGGGTTATTTGATGATGAGACCTGGAGGACATAGTTGGAAATACTTGGCCAAAGATCTTTAGGCCCATTTCTAGAATGTGACTGTATATTATTATCAATCTCTTTCTTCATTAGCTCTACACGATGCGTGCCTTTGAAGCCACATTCTTCTTGCCCTGGCATGGAAATTATGACCTGACTTAGGACACACAAATATCAATCTGCAATAAGAAGTAAAAAACATCCTATAAAGAATTTTGTGATTTTCATGTCAGGTGAACACATTAATTTAAACCCCAAAAGAAATTCACACTCCTTTATAGAAGGATAAAACTAAATAAATAATAATATAAATAAAGAATATAGAAGGATAAAACTAAATAAATAATAATATAAATAAAGAAATTATCATCAGAATCAAGACATTTAATTCCAAGCAGACTTCAAGAAAGAATGAAAATTATTGAATTTATGTTAACAATATTTTGAAATGAAATTGAATCCTGTCACAGTTCTGAATTTGTTTTAACAAAGTTCGTCTAGAAATGAAGGCAAACTTATGAACATCAACAAACAATTATTGACCATACAAACTAAAAAGTAATCATTTGCTTCTAATAGTTTCATAGTAGATGATTATGATGTCCTTTTGTAAGCCAAAATTCGCTTAAATGAGCAAAAGATCCTCATACGTCTAACATACAAGAAAGGCGCTTACTTTAATAACAGATATATTGCTGGACCACACCAACATTAAGATTTAGTACACAGATCAATACTGCATATTCTAGTCTAGCGAATCCTATTCCAAACTATAATGGAGTGCTATAATGGATAAGAATCATAATACTGCAGAAAAGAAGCAGCCTAATGTACTGCATACTCAATGGCTGGTTATTTCCCAGTAAGGAGAAATTGTCATCAACTTATTCCATATTTCAAACTTCATACTGACCTGAATGTGATAAATTGGCCACAGGGCAGATAATTTGTGGAATTCCAGGAGCTGAAAACCACTCTAACGGCCACTCGAATGGTGCATCATCATGGTTTCCAAACACACTAGCCCATGGTATGCCCCTTCTTCTTGTTGGAGAGATTGCTTGATCCCAATACAAGCTTGCATTTGCAATGGGTATGTTGTTGGCTGTAATGACATCTCCAAGGTATACGACAAAATCTGCTTTGTAATTCAGTTCAAATTAGGATAATGAAAGAAGAGAAAAAAGATAAATAATGAAACACCCCAGTCCACTGTCAAGAAATTATCGTCGGATTTGTCTCTTACCCACCTCAAATATTGGGGCTCACAGCGGTCCTCTTGAATCAAACCTGTTAGTACTCTTCATTTGTTTTGAATGATGAAGTCATGGGTTCAAATCTAGGGGGACGAGCTCTGAGCCCCACTATTTGAGGTTGGTAAAAGAGAAATATGTGGACGATATCTTAACAATGGCCGGGGTGTTACAAATAGGGAAAAAAAAAAGGAGTGAATTATAGCAACGGTCGATATTTGGTAACATCTTAACGGCACTGCTAAGTTTCTTCCCTACCAGGATTTTAAAAACAAACTCATGCTCATTTATAAATTCATTAGAACAAGTAAAATCCCAACAAGGAAACTTGATACCCACAAAATAAATTAATAAGTTTTGCAATGCAACTGTGTGTTGGACTACAAATCCAGTTCCACATCAAAAATAAAGACTTAAGGAGTTCAAATAAATTAAATATCAATACTCCGCACCACCTCCAAGCATTTCATCATAAATTTCATAAGTATTTTAAATTTTCCGAAGCTTATTTTATGAAAAAAGATTGTTTAAGAATCACGAAAATCAAGTTGATTTTAGGATGAAAAATTACCAGGAGATTCATGTTCAAGCACAGTAGACATGACTCTCAAAGAGCGGACATCCTGGCGAGGTCCCCAATCGGTCCACGCGTTTTCTCCGAAATGCAAGTCAGCAAAAACACCAATCTTGAACCTTCCACTACTTTCTCCGACTCTCAAATCAGTTTCCGGCGTTGTTCGGAGTTGATCATCGAATCCGATAGTCAAGATGGAGTGTGAGTATAATAAATACAGATTAATCAAGAAAATTATTCTCAAATGACTCGTTGTCTTCGCCATTATCAAAAAGTGTAATGGTTAAGGAGCAGCTTACTCTTTCTAGTTGGTGTCAAAGGTGGCTTCCGGTATTTTTGGGTATATTCTTGCCGCTAACCCCATTTCTTTTTCTCTTAGACACCCCTAAATTATTCTTAAATCGTTTTTACAATCTTAATTTTCTGAAATTTGGGAAAAGCCCAAGAAAGATCAGTTAATTATCTAAAACCTCCTTAACAATTGATAAATTATGTGAATGTATAAAAAAAAAAATAATAATAATATTAAAATCCAATAAAAAGAATGAGTATATAGGTAAGTAAGGTAATTAGTTTACTAATATATAGAGTATGATGAAATTTTGAGATTATATTTTTCCCTTTTAATGTCTTCATGAGAGTAAAACTAACCCAATTCTTCAAAAAAGCAAAAATCAAAGAGACAAAAGGAACAAAATATGTATTACTTAAATTTTTGAGTTAAAAAGACGTTGACCCCCAAGGTTTATTGTTTTAGCCAGTGTTCTGAGAATTAGACCAAGCCGATCGACCGGACTGGTGATCGGCACCCTATCTAGTCCAAGTTACCATTTTTAATTGTTCACAAAATCCCTAACCTGATCGCCCACGAACGAGGAGCTATCAAGTGTCGAGGTTAGAGGATTTTTATAAAGTAGAGGTCAGTGATTAAAGGGGTGGTGTCGAATTGAATTTTGGACGTTGGAATCAGCCGAAATTTGGGTAGAAAAATCAACCCAATACTTAAGTCATGGCTAGCAAATAGGGGGCTAACAAGTGCTGAGGTTAGATGTTTTGTAGAGTGGAGGCCAATGGTTCAAGTGGTGGTGTCAGATTAAATTTTAAATGCCAGAATCAGTCGAAATTTGGCTAAAAAAATCAAACCAATCACGACGATGTTTGCAAGTCACTGTCGGCGAATAGGGGCTACCAAATTCAAGAGTTAAAGGGGTTCTGTAAAGTGGAGGACGATGCTTTAGGTGGTGATGTCAGATTGAATTTTGGTCATTGAAATTTGGCTAAAAAAATCAATTTAGGGTCCAATCATAGGGGTGTATTTGCTAGATTTCAAACTTATATAGACTGCTATATTCTTCAAGGGTGTGTTTGTAAGATTTTAAACTTTCTGGATCATCAGCAGACCATCGGTTTAACTGGTCAAACCGAGCAAACAGGGCCTGGCGCCTTGGCAGGATGACAACTCGGGTCGGGTTTCAAAACCTTGGTTTTAACTAAAAACTCAATTTTTGATATAATAAAAATCCATCTACCATTAATAAATCATTAATGAGCTATTGAAACTTATTCTATTATATTTAGTGAATTATTGTTTTGTTATTTATTTTAATACCTAAAACATAACTACAAATTAATGCATTAACTCTTAATCACTAGTGAAGTTTTTAAAATCTCAAGAAACTTTTTGTTATTTAATTAGTCACCAAAAGATTAATACATTAACGATCCATCCCTAGTGAAGTTTACAAAATGGCTAGCTCATTTTTTACTAACTTTCTCACCGCTCCCACGAATTTTGTAGATTACCAAAAATTAACTAAATAAGTTAAGATTTTGCATCTTAGTGTTGTTAGGATTACTGCAAAATATTTGGGTTCTCTACACATAATTGAAGTATGTTAAGTAAGTTTGGTGTTTGTCAACTTACTGTCTGCACTTCCCAAGTTTGTAATTATAATTATTCTTTCACGTTAATTCAAATAAATTTTGATAAAAAAAATAAATAAAGGAATAATAGTTAAGGTTTAGAAAAGAAATTAGAGTTTTAGCCTTTAGGTAAAATAGATTTGTTTTTTCTGTCCTACATTTGATGATAAAATTGTAATATAAAATTTATTTTCTAAATTAATTGAATCAGATAAGAGTTATCTTATTGTAATACAAATTATCAAATGAACTTGACTTAAAAGATAGAATTAACTATTTTAATGTTAACTAAATAAATTTTGAAGCTATTGGATTACTATGAATTAATAACCACGGAGTTATTTTACAAATTTATGTCAAAAAAAATTGTTATAATAGCTTGACCCATTGTCAAAGCTCAATAACATCACTCATATGGAAGAAAGTTTTATTAATATTCTAAGTCCTAATTTGGTGTATATGTTTAATACTAAAGTTACCAACAATTTATAATTTAACAAGGTTTCCTATATTTAATGCATGATACAATCAACTAATCATGAGATTGGTGCATCAATGTATATTACATATACAAACATAATATTTTATAAATTGTTGATTGTATATACATCTTTTATAATATAATTTTTTTTTTCTTTTTGAACAAAATGAGCAGGATTACGCAATGTAAAAAATAAGTTACAAATCAATCTTTATTGAAAAAATAATAGTTAAAAAGATTGGGGGAAGAAGATTAGAAACTTCAACAATTTTATTGTGGCTAAGCTCTAACTTGCCCACGCCTGCGCCTCTAAGCTTATTCGCTTAGCGTCATCAGACCCTCACCTCGATACCAATTGAGTATCAATTCCATTGTATTATTCCTAATGAAAGTAGAAGCAACTGAATATCATCTCTCTTCTCTCAAGACAATGATATTATACTCCAAGTGATCATTATTTAAAATCAAAAAAGAAAACATGGAATGCTTCATTTGGAGAAATAGATTCACTATTAAAGAACTGACAAGTTCTTCCTATGTTTTTCTTTTTTATAAGTTAAAAAAAGATATCTCTATCATTACATGTTAATGACAATTGATATACAATCGTCACTCAAATCTTTCAACGATTTTGCCTCCAATTAAAGGGCATTTAGCTAATGCTTGCCTCAGCCAATCTTCCTTTTGGTCGTGCAACAAGCAGCTCATAATCTTGCATATTTCTATAAATTAGGGCTAACCACATAACCAAACTAGACATAGAACTCTACTTTTGCTTCATTTTACTTATCTACTTTTCAAATCTTTCATATTCCTATCAACTATATCAACTTTTCAAATCTTTCATATTCCTATCAACTATATTCATTTAACCTTACACTAACAATCAAAACCTTGTGCGCTCCCCCCTCAATGCTAAAACAGGTTTGCTTAGTTTGAGCTTTCTCACAAAAAGAACTTCTACTAAGGCCATTTTTAAGGAAGAAATTGTGGTAATGAAAGACAGCAGATAATAAACATTTTGACCGGACAAAATGTACCTGTATGATAGCTTGAGCACAAAGCTTTCCTGACAACACTGCACCTTCCATCGAAGCCAGATACTCCTGTTTTGTGTAATCCCCAGCTAAATAGAATCCCTCTATTGGAGATCTTTGCAGGGGACAAGTTTCACAATTTGGGACAGTCTTGTACACAGACCTGAAATAATAAGTTAGGCTTTGAAATGGACAAATCAAATGACGTACAAGAATGGAAATCGTCGATGTAGTTATTGACAATCTTTATGACACTACATGCAGAAGCATTTTCTAAAGGTTAAACAATATATAGTAGTGAGAAGTACTACGCAGGATTGACAAATTTTGAATTAAATTAAAAAATCAAATTAGACTACTATCTGTTGTCCAGCACTAGCTGACCATCAACTGCTTCTGTCATGGCATAAACAATATGCAAGACATCGTCAACTTTTTATCTTAACTGTCTTAAATGTCTTACAAATGTAATCAATTTCACCCCTTATAAAAATCAAGAACTCCTCATTCCCAGGCACTGAGGGATGTACAACCACCCAACCAGGTACCAAAGAGTGTCTTTGCTAGCAAGACCCTCAAAAGTTTCTTTTGCACATCACCTACACATCCAACTGGGTTTAATTAATACTATCTACTATGAGCCAAACTATGTTCAATAATGTTTACTTTGAATCCCAACATCATTCTGCAGTCAAGATCCACAAGGCTTTGTTTTTGGATTTTATTACCCAAAACATGTCTAGCATATGCAAGCAACTTCCTTAAAAATCAAAAACTTCTCTTCCTGGCTGATTTATGATGTCACAATCAAGCCCTCCTGCAATCTAAGCATCCTTGCTTGTAATACCCTTAGAGAAACTTGTTCACACCACTGACACTTCGATCAGGATTGGCCTTGATGCCATCTATCATACTCACAATTTACAAGACAATCTACTTTTAATCTCAAGAGTTATTTTGCACTAAAAGAACTGTGCAGTTTGTTTTTGGGCTTTTATAACCCAACGTGTGTTTTAAATATGTAAGCAACTTCATCCCTTCTTAACATCAAATACTTCACAAGTAATGTGGGATGTCACAATCACCCAATCAGAAATTCTCTATCCCAATCCATGCGGATGTCACAAATTCAAGTGATATTGAAGATAATTTGTTGCATCAACAAAAACTTACTATGTTAAATAAATCTAGGAATTGGAACCTTTGAAATTTACAGAAAGGTTTAAAAGGTTGGCCATCTAACCTTGGTGTTTTTACAACATGGTACTTCACAATTTTTGCTTTGCTTTGTTCAGCAAAATTTTCGTCAGGAAAGAGTTTAGCAAGCTCCTTCATTGTCGCATCAATTATTTCTGAGTCGCTGCGTGAGATCCATTCTTCAGCAGGGGCAAAAACTAACTCTGCTCCTTCATTGTCGCATCAATTATTTCTGAGTCGCTGCATGAGATCCATTCTTCAGCAGGGGCAAAAACTAACTCTAGCATGGACTGGTTAGGGTTGTAATATTCCTACATAAAACAAGGAATCATGAATTAACCAGTTCATGCATAATCAAAGAAAGATGAAGTTAATGCAGTTGGTTTGTACTTTGAATAAGAAAAACTGGGTAAAAAGATAGACATCGACTTATATATTGTCCAACGTATTTAAACAGAGAAGAGCATACAATTAACTATCAACATCAATTTTTTCCTAAATATTTAAATATAACAAAGTAGTTCCTTCATGTGGTGCCTCACCACACAGCTACCCATGCCTGCAATAGGTTAAGCAAAAGCTGACCATTACCAGGTCAGAATCTAAAAGTTCATGTTATTTCCCACTAATCAAGGGTAGGGTGTAGGGTAGAAATAATGAATTTAAAGGTACGGGCAAACAAACAAATCCGGTGGTTCAGTATATANAAGATGGAGGATGAGGGTGGAGAGAGGGGTGGTGGGTGGAGAAGAAAATATGGAAAGAGGGCTGGTTTCTAATCCTAGAGAGAAGAGAGAGCATTTTCTCTCACTAACGTGAACAGTATTAGCTTTTTAATTCGTGAAGTTTTAGGGGTGACCATAAGGATTCTTTCACCATAATCGATGCTATCAAAAGTGTTGTGAGAGATAAAGCTATGGACCTTAGGAATGTCACAGCATCCTACAGCAATAGGAAGTTGGGGAATGATTGGAGCCTCCCTAGATCTATTTTCAAAGACGTTTCTCA